GGTCTCCCCCATCCCCCTCCCCCCAATTTTTGGGGTCTCCCCCATTTCCCCAATTTTCTGGGGTCTCTCCCTTCCCCAAATTTTGGGGGGTCCCCCCCCCCCTCACCGCCCTCCTCGGTGGCCACGGGCACCCAGCGGCTCCAGGCCGATCGGCCCCGCCTGTCGCGACAGGCGACGCGCGCGAGGTATCGCGACAGGGGCCGCAGCCCCGCCAGGCGCAGGGAGAAGGGAGGAACCGGCACGGATCGCGACACGGCGGCGACAGCGGCGGGATCGGCGACAGCGGCGGGATCGGCGATAGAGGCGGGATCGGCGGGATCGGCGACAGCGGCGACAGCGGCGGCGTCACCCGGGGACAGCTGGGGGACACCGCGGGGACAGCGCCGATGGCCCCGAATGGCCCCGAATGGCCCCACGGGATCAGTTGGGGCCGATTTTGGGTCAATTTCGGGTCAATTTGGGGTGGATTTCGGTGTCCCCGCTGTCCCCTCACCTGCACCGTGCACTCCTGGTCCCCTCCGGTGTCCCCAAAGCCGTCCCCGGGCTCCCAGGTCACCTCCAGCCACCGCGGCCCCGCCGCCGCCAAACCCAAATTCCTGGGGGCCGGGGCCAGCACTGGGGGGACACGGGGGGGGTCAGAGCCACCCCCGGGTCCCCAAACGCCGCCCCAGGATCCTTTTGGGGCACTTCCCGAGAGATTTCGGCTCCGCTTTTGGGGAGATTTGGGGTCGATTTTCGGGTCAGTTTTGGGTCTGATTTGGAGCCAGTTTTAGGGTGAGTTTTGGGATGGTTTTGGGTTGATTTGGGGTTGATTTTCGGCCAATTTTGCATCAATTTTGTGCCAATTTTTTGCCCACTTTGGTGTGAATTTGACGCCGATTTTTGGCCGATTTCGGGCCGTTTTTTGGTTCCGGTTCTGTTCAGTTCCCTCGGTTTGGGTCCGGGACCGATCCCCGCGGGCCCGGGCGGGTTCCGGGGCTCACCGGTGACGGTGGCGCTGCGGGACGTGGCCACGCCGCGCTCGTTGTGAGCCTCGCACGCGAAGGAGCTGCTGCGGTTCAGCCCTGAGGGGACAGGTGGGGACAGGTGGGGACAGGTTTGGGACATTTGGGGACAGACTTTGGTCGTTCTCCTTCCCCGGTGATGACCCGGCCCTTTTCTGATGTCCCCAAATCTCCCCCAAATCTCCCCAAATTCCCCCAAAGCACCAAATTCCCCCAAATTCCTCCATTTGCCAGCCCCCCAATGTCCCCAAATGTCCCCAAATCTCACGAAATGTACCCAAATGTCCCCAAATGTCTTCAAAATGCCCCCAAATGTCCCCAAATGTCCCCAAATGTCTTCAAAATGTCCCTAAAATGCCCCCAAATGTCCCCAGATCTCCCCCAAATGTCCCCAAATCTCCCCAGATCTCCCCAAACGTCCCCGAACGTCCCCGCTGTCCTCACCGGGCACCCAGAGGGTGGAGGGGCTCTGGCCCAGGGGGTCCCCGAGCCCGTTTTGGGGGGTCCCGTCCCGCAGCCAGCGGAGCCTGACGGGCTCGGGGGGGCCCCGGGCGCTGCAGCGCAGCCGAAACGGGGCCAAAACGGCCAATTCCAGGTCCTGCGGCTCCTCCAGGAAAACCGGGAGCCCTGGCAGGAATTGGGGGAAATCCGGGAAAAAAATTTGGGTGAGTTCTGAGGTCGGAACCCCAAGAAATCCCCCAAAAATGAGGGGTTCCGGGTGGGTTTTAGGGGGGGGTTTGGGGATTCTGAGGGAATTCGGGGAATTCTGGGGAGTTCCGGGTGGGATTTGGGGTGGATTTTTTGGGAATTCCGGGGGATTTTGGGAATTCCGGACGTTCCGGGGGAACCTGGGGAATCCCAGTGGGATTTGGGGAATCCTGGGGCGACCGTCGGGAATTTCGGGGGGTTCTGGGTGGGTTTTAGGGGGGATTCGGGGGTTCCCATGGGGAATGTTGGAATTCCAGGGGGGATTTTTGGGAATTTGGGGATCCCCCCCCTCACCTGCCAGCTCCAGGTGAGCCTCGCGGGACAGGAGCCGCGCCCCTCCCCCGAGGCGGGCCCAGCACCGGTACCGGCCGGAGTCGGACGCAGACACCGGGGACAGCCTGGAATTCGGGGGGATTTGGGAAATTTTGGGGGAATTTTGGGAATTCGGGGGGACTTTTTTTTTGGAATTCGGGGAGTTCGGGATTTGGGGATGGGGAATTTGGGATTTGGGGATTTTTTTTGGGGGGGGATTTGGGACCAGGACTTTGGGAAAGGGAATTCGAGGTTGGGAATGGGGGGGGGGGAGATTTGGGATTTCGGGGGTCAAAACGGGGGATTTGGGATCGGGATTCTGGGATTCGGGGTTAGGGGTTTTGGGGACGTGGGGACACGGGTGACATCAGTGACACCCAGGTGACATCAATGGCACCCAGGTGACATCAATGGCACACAGGGGACACAGGAGGTACCCCAAGTGCCCCAGGTTGTCCCCAGGTTGTCCCCAGGTTGTCCCCAGGTGCCCCCCAGGTTGTCCCCAGGTGCCCCCCAGGTTGCCCACCTGAGCTGGCTGGTGGCCACCCAGGCCCCCCCCGGCAGGGCCACCTGGGCCAGGTCGCTGTCCCCGTCCAGGGCGGCTCCGTCGCGCTCCCAGCCCAGCTCGGGGGGCTCCTCGTCCCCCCGCGCGCGGCAGCGCAGCCGCAGAGACCCCCCCGGGGCCGCCCGCGCGTCCGAGGGGTGCTCCAGGAACCGCAGCCCTGGGAACCCCGAAACTCCAACAGTTCCCCCCCCAAAAAATCCGCAAAAGGTGGGAAATTCCCCAAATTCTGCCCCCAAAACTGGGTCAGGGGTTCGGGTTTTTGGGGGGGGGGGGGGGAATTTTTGTTATTTTTTGTTTAATTCCCGATACCCCCAAAATCGACACCAAACATTCCCAAAAATCGTCCCCAAATCAGCCCCGGAACGGCCCCAAAATCGCCCCAAAATCTGAGTTTCCCGTTTCCCTTCCCACGCCCCTCCCCCCCTCCCTCGGGACCCTCCGGAATCCCGGGAATTTCTCCAAATTCCCAAAAAAAACCCGAAATTTGGGTGGGGAAGGGGTCCCAGCTGTGGGGTGGGGCCGGGGGTGGGGGAGGGACCCCCGCCCATCCCCGGGGGGGGCCGCACCCCCAATTTTGGGGTGGGGGAAGGGCGCGGGGGACCCCTCCCAAAAAAAAAAGGGGGGGGGTGGGAAGGGGGAGGGGTCAAACCCTAAAAACTGCGGAACCTCAAAACTGGGGAAGTCCGAAAGTTTGGGAACCCCGAAATTTGGATTCCCTAAAATCGGGAATCCAAATATTTGGGATCTCCCCGAAATTGGGATCCCCTCTAAAATTTGGATTCATTAAAATTGCGAACCCTCAAAATCGGGAATCCCCAAAATCGGGGATCCCCAAAATCGGGAATCCCCAAAATCGGGATCCCCCTGAGCCTGAGACCCCCCCGAAATCGGGACCCCCCCCCAAACAGGAACCCGCCAAAATCGGACACCCCAAAACCGGCAAATCCCAAAATTGAGATTTCCTAAAATCGGGACCCGCCCAAACCCGGGACCCGCCCAAACGCGGGGCTCCGTCCCCAGAACCCCCCAAGAAATCGGGACCCTCCTGTCCCGGGACCCCCCAAAATCGGGATCCCCAAAACCGAGAACCCCCAAAATCGGAATCCTTCAAAATCGGGACCCCGAAAATCGCGACATCCCAAAAACGGGACTCCAAAAATCGGGAATCCCAAAAAAACCGGGATCTCCCTGGGACCCCTAAAACCGGGACCCCCAAAAGCGGGACCCCCAAAAGCGGGACCCCTAAAACCGGGACCC